TATTTTTTAAAATATTGTTAGTATTTTTTAAAGGAAGGTCCTAAAGGAGTTGAAGGAGGAGATCTGTTCAAAACAAAAATAAAGAAGCCCCAGCAGTACATAAACAGGATGGCAGAGAAACAAATGCAGGGGGGATATTAGAGATCTACCAGAGAGGCTGCTCCAGGCAAGGATTATTACTACAAATAGGTCATCCCCGAACACCCACTGTGGAGCCCTTCCTCAGCTGACCACAAGGCACAGCCCAGCACAATCCCAGATTTACATCACAAAACACATCCAAAACACCCACCCCAAGAGAAGCGTTCCTATCCCCACCTGAGAATGTTAAATATTTTAAAGGAGAGCTCCGGTTACATAACTGCCCTGGCCCGGTGGCTGCAGCGCTGCCTGCCAGCCTCCCCTGCGAGCACAAACGCTGCAGGGCTGCAAATCTGCAACTCGGGTGGAAATTCCAGCTGCCAGGGAGCCCACGGTGTGACAGAGGGGCTGAAGTGTGCATTACAAGAGGAGGATTCCCTCCACACTGACCTGCAGCCCGATGCAGCAGGAGGGTAACCAGCCTTTACATAACTGGAGCTGATGGGCAGGAGGGAAACCAGAGCGAACCAAGCAACCTCTATTTGCTCTCATCCTTCCCAAATCACTCCAGAATTTCATCAAACCGGTTCCTAGCTAGCAGCAGCAATTCCTGGGTTTCACACAACAGCCCTCCATAAGCCTATTTTCAGTTTAAATACCTCTGTTCCTTCTTTCCTCCCTAAATACCCACTTACTACTGGAAATACAAACTCCAGGGTCATGTCCCAACCCTTCCCACACAGCTGCTCCTGTCCCCAGCAGCAGGTGACATCAGTAACGGGAGGGGACAAAATCAGCTCTGATCCAGGACAAAATGAATTTCAGAGAGTGAAGTTGCACCACATGAACTCACTTTCACTTCCCCCAAAAAGCGGATGCTGTGTGGTGCCTGCGTGAAACCAGAAGGAACCACAGAACGGGGACTGAGGGTGAGATTTCCAGTGGCCAATCCCCTTCCAAAGGGTGCCAAACCAGCACGGGAGGTTCCAGAGTCGCAATTCACATCTTGAAATGCTCTGAACGAACTCAGAAAGTGTTCACAGTGTGTCAAGAGCACACAGAGAACAACGAGATCCTGCTGAGGTCAGCCAGGCTGTGGGACTGCACGTTACTCCCAAGATATCCCAGGGATGAGCTGGTCCACAGCAGCAGTTTCATAACCTGCCCTCGAGCACCCAGCTCACCTGTTATACTTTGATTTCTCAACCCATTATCCAGCCTCAGTCTGCCAGACCTTTATTTTAAGGCCCAAGCTATAAAAACACTTCACCCTGAGATTTGATTTTTCTACAAGCTTTATTTGATTTTTCTACGGTTTAATTTAAAATTAGTTTTAATTTTTACCCACAGCAATATCCTCTTAACCACAGCTCACCCCAGAACATTGGTGTTTGTAGGATTTTGGTCTGCACATGGCCAGAGTTTTATCCTAAGCCTAAATGTGCTGCTTTGCTCACAGCTTTAGTTCAAATCTTGTCTAAAAGCCACACCTAAAAACAGAGATCACACCGAGCAGTGTTTCATGCACAGCCCAGATGAAAGGTTGCTTTTCTCCTCTCCTTCACAGCGTCTCTCTCGGGCATTTAGTGCTGATTTGCCTCTCTGACCAAAGATCCTTTAATCAAAGGAACACAGATCCTCAATTACACTTCTCAGATAATCAGAGCTTTCATGGCTTTCTCCCTGAGAAAATTTCCACACAAGCTGACCTTGTCCCTGTGATCCCACGTCAGGAGGGAACCTCAGCTCCACAATTCTCAAAGAAGCAGCAGCAGCTCTTTTTTTTAGAGTTTATAACCACTATCAAAGTTTTATTCTGCAGCCCAACATTTGTATATAAACACCCCAAAAAGGATTATGGCACTCGCAAAGCCCTCAATGGCTTCTAGACTCTTCAGATCTGCTAAGTTTAGACTCATTTCTCGCACAACTGCTGCACTAAGCTCCCCAGAGTGACATTTTCAGTGCTGCTGCTTTGGCTGAGTGAGATCCAGAGAATGTGAGAGCCAAGAGCATCACCATCACCCCAGGTACCACGTCCTTGCCTCCCAGGATGTGCATTTTGGGTTCAGAAACACAGAAAGGCTTTAGGACAGCGCTGCATCAGAAGATCATTGCTCGAGCTACAGCATCACGAGGAAACAGAACTGTCCCAAGGGGCCCTTCTTAAAAGGTGCCACTTTCAACAAAAACCACCCAAACCACAGCTGGGTGGCTCGAGAGCTCTGGCCCTGCCTGCAGCACGAGCACAAAGCGCCTTCAAAACGCAGAGAGCACTTAAACTGCTTCCATTCGTGCTGCTGGAGCGTTATAAATATTTCAGCAGCCCTGAATTTCCCCGCTTCTACTGCAGAATGAACTGCCAAGCGCTCCTTGGGCTCAGCGCGATGAGGTCCCTTTTTCACGGACACCTTCAGCTCCTGCTGTACATCCTCAGCCCATTCTCATTGTTACAATGTCAGCCTTGTGAAAAGCCCATCCGCAAAGGGCTCCGAGCGCGGGAGGTGCCACAGCCGCTCCCGGCGCGGGGACCGCCCGGAGCCGCGGGCAGCCCGAGGCCGCAGCCGCTCACCGGAGAGCCCCGACCCCCGAGAGGACGCGGCGCAGGCACTGACCGTCATCGGCGGGGAGGCCGCTCCTCGGGGCCCGCGCGTCCTCGCGGGGCCCGCTGGCGATGCCCGGCGGGGCAGGGCCGGGGCCCGGCGGCCGCGCAGGGGACGAGCCCGGCGGCCGCCCGCCCGCCGCCGCTGCCCTACCTTTCCGCCTGAAGAAGGACATAGCGCCGGGGAGGGGGGCGAGGCGGCCGGCGGGGCGGGGGGAGGCGGGAGGGAGGGAAGGCAGCGCGCCGGGCCCTATGAATGAGGCAGCCGCGCCCGCCCGCCGCCGCCGCTCCCTCCGCCTCTTCCTCCCGCGGCGGCGCCCGCGGCCGCCATGTTGTCAACACCGGCCCCGCGCCCGCTTCCGGCAGCGCCGCCCGCGCGGCACGGCGGGATGCGGCCGCACTCAACATGGCCGCCCCGGCTTCACACCCACCGCACAATGGGGGCCGGGCGGGGCCGCCATGTTGGGTGAGGGCAAGGAGCCCGCTGGGGTCCAAGGTGGCGGGGCGGCCATCTTTGATCGGGGCGGGGGGCGCCGGACGGCGTGAGGCGCCGACCGCCATCTTGGCTGAGGGCACGGGTGACCCGGGGACGCTGCGGCAGCTCGGACGCGGCCCAGGTGGGACAGAGCCCGAGGGTAGGGACAGAGCCCGAGGGTAGGGACAGAGCCTGAGGGCAGGGACAGAGCCCGAGGGCAGGGACAGAGAGCCCGAGGGCAGGGACAGAGCCCGAGGGCAGGGACAGAGAGAGCCCGAGGGCAGGGACACAGAGCCCGAGGGCAGGGACACAGAGCCCGAGGGCAGAGGGACACAGAGCCCGAGGGCAGGGGGACACAGAGCCCGAGGGCAGGGGGACACAGAGCCCGAGGGCAGGGGGACACAGAGCCCGAGGGCAGGGACAGAGAGCCCGAGGGCAGGGACAGAGCCCGAGGGCAGGGACAGCCCTCAAAGCCCTCAGGGCAGGGACAGCGGACGAGCACCGTGCAGGCCCGTGAGGGCCGAGGCCCTGCAGAGATCCCTCAGGGCCGTGTCCCGCAGTGTCCCCTTCACTGTCGGACACACACATGGACACACACATGGACACACGGACAGTCAGTTCCGATGAGTCAGTTCCGTCTGCCTCCCAAACCCTGCCACTAAAATCCCCTTCATCCTCCTCCCCAGGCAAATCTGCTCCTCCCGCACCTGCCAAGGACGTTTGTCACCGTGTCACGGCGCTTAGGTTGATGTCCGAGGAGATCTCTGCTCTAAAAGCTTTACAAACACTGTGTAAAGACTGTGATTATAAATTCTGGTTTGTGCCATCCCCGTGTCACCCCTGTGCCATGTAACTGTCCTGCCCTGGCTGCCCCAGCCGTGCCAAAATGATGTAATTAATAATCATTGCCTGAGTTTCTGCACCGTCTTCCATCCAAGCGTTCCAAAGCTCTTTACAAACACTCAGTAATTAAGACTCATAAATGGTAAATGAAATAAAAGGTACACGGGGATCTTCCAGGGCTGGGATGGAGCTGTCTCCTGGGCTGATCAACACCCTGTAGCAATTGCATTTTCTCTTTTGATATTATTTTTGTTAACTGGTGCTCTTTGATACAGTTTTGTACACATGCCCAGAGGCTGGCTGAAGCATAATGAACTATTCTATATGGTTTCTGCATAATGAATGGAATTATTTAATTGGCACATAACCTCAGAGACTGCTAATAGATTAAAACATTCTGAAGATGAGCAAATTGGAAAGAATGGGATGACTCAGAGAACACTAAATTAATATTCTGCCAAAAATTTTGCACCAAATCCTCTTGGGTTTCAGGGTATATACACGGGGGCTGAACAAGGGTGTTTGACATGAATTTCCTTCCCTGGATTGAAATTTTCTCTCTTTCATAAATTCAGAAGGGCTGAAACTCCAATCCAGAGCTGCTCACTCAGCCTTGGACCTGGATCTGAACTGGAAGTGTGAGTGACAGCAGGTGCGGGAGTCTTTAACAGAACATGACAGTTTAATTATCTGAGCAATCAGTTAATTAAATATGACTTCAGGACATGGGTTGGCCAACGTCAGAGAAGCTGAAGGACTCCTCCCTAAATGAAAATATTCAAATTAAAAAAAAAAACTGCCTCACTGTTTGATTTTTTTTCCTCTCCACAGCCAGAAAAAGAAGTAAACTTTGATATTTGAAAAGATCTGAATAAAAGGATCATGTTTGGACAGATATAATAAAGCAGAACAAGACTTTGTTGCCTTGGATAATTAATCACGGGGCACTGCTCTGCTCAGTTACAGCACAAACCCACAAACGTAACATGTTAGAGGCCATTCCCATTTCTCCCATCTTTGGGATACTCCATTTATTCCCATGATGTTGGGATTCTCTCTCATATATAGAATTCTCACTACTTTGGGAATACAAATACCAAAAATCATATGAGTAAGGACTTTAACAGCTGAGATCTTGCTCTGGAATAAATAATAATATCCTAAACACATCAGGAATCAAAGATGTCTTTGCACAGAAACTCACAGCACCTTCAATTTGAGACTTGTATTTTCCTCCTATTTTTTTAATTTTTTTTAATGGGAAAACAAGTGTCTGCATGCCCACACAAAATTCCTGCAAGTCTGGCTGTGGCTGACCTCAGTCCATGAACCTCATGGGAACGGGAGGGTTGGTACCTGTGCTGAGCATTTCAAAGAAGGGAATTCTCCCACGTCCCAGCCCGGCGAAAATTAACTGCTTTTATTAAAACCTTGCAATTCCTCCCTGTTTCCTTCCACGGGGCACATTCCCAGGGAGGGAGCCTTGTTCAAGCAAGGGGTGAAGAGTCTCTGCCTGACTCCCAGTGGGTGAGTTAAAACTCGAGGTTTGAAGTGTAAAATGGGGGTAAAAAGGTACAAAAAAAGGTTCGTTCCCAGCGGGAAGAGCCGTGTTGGTGCCCTCCTGCTGCTCAGATGTGCTGGGCAGAGCTCCGGGAAGCAGCACGGAGCGGCAGAAAGCAGAAAATTCCCCTCTCCAGCTCTTCCCAGCTCCTGCAGGAGCGGAGCCTTTCTGCAGGGCTGCGGAGCCACTCTGGAATTATTCTGAATTTGGGAAGGCAAACGGGCTCGTTGGCACCTCCACCCTGCCCAGATGGCATCGCCAGCGCTGTGTGGGACTCACCTCAGATGACCTTTCTCCAATCCATAGTGTTTCCCCTAGATTCTTATGGCATCATAAACATCTGAAAAATAATAATTTAATTTAACACCATCTTCTGTTTCTCCGTTATTTTCCCCCCCACCTTTTGCTTATCTAAATGCCTGAAGGAGTACAAGAAGCGATGCAGCACATGCAGCACTCGGGTATTTCTTCAAACCAGGGATATGGGGGGGAAAACAAGGCTGGGTGTGATTTTATCCCTTCAGAGCTTTCCTGAGGTCCCAGGACGAGCAGCGGCCGTGACATTTCTAAAAGCAGGACACGGCCAGAGCCGCACGGAGCCCGAGCGCTGCGGGCAGACGGAGCCGGAGCGTTCCCGGGGCTCTGCCGCGGGTATTTACCGGCGCTGCCGCAGCACTCCGGGCGCGCACCAGGAGATGGTGCCAAGCCCCCGCCTTGTGCTGCCGCGATCCGCACGGGCTTCCAGCACTCGGAGCCCTCTCCAAGCGCTGAGCTTAAACCAGCAACCAACGCGCCCTGGATCTAAAGGAAAATCTCTTTTTTTTTTTTTTTTTTTTTTTTTTTTTTTGACTAAAAGCTGCCCAAATGTCTTTACCTGTTTCAGCGCTACCGGCAGTAAGCGCCCGAAACTCGCCCGAGGACAGTAGCGCAGGATAAAGACATTTTTTGCTACATTTTAAAAAGGATCTGATTCTTTATGCGGTTGATGGACGTGGGACCGCTCGGGGGAACAGCTGAGCTCCTGGAGACCGAGAGGCACATACATAAAACATCAATCCGCGCTGCACCGGCACCGGGAGGTGCAGCAGGAATAAAACCTCATCCATGAAGTTTTTAGAACGACTGTTATAAAAATCCATCTGCACTGGGAGGCGCAGCTTTTACACCTCAAGTGAGCGCAGGCTCCCGGGCAGCCGCTCTGCCTCCAACACCTTGGAGAAACCTGCGGGATTAGAGGATAAACCTGAGCCCGAGACATCCCTGCCACGGGGGGTTTCAATCCCCGCACCCGCGTTCCCCACGCGTGTCCCCGGCAGCAGCGGAGCCGCAGCATCGCCGTCCGCGGGCACGGAGGGCGGGTTAAAAACCCCGCCGGTAATTAACGGCGGCAATAACCCGAGCCTGCAGCGGGCGGAGAATCGCTGTGAAACCCCCCAAAAAGCGAGCGGGCAGGTGACCCCGCTGCCCCCGCCCCGATTCCCCCCGCCCGCCGCGGGTGTCGCAGCCGCGCCCCGCGGGGGGGGCGGCGCAGGGAGCGCGCAGGGAGCGCGCAGGGAACGCGCAGGGAGCGCGCAGGGGCGCGGGCAGCGCTGCCGGCCCCGCGCCCGGCCCCGCGGGCCGCCCCGCGCCGCCGATGCTGTCGGTGCCGGTGCCGGTGGCGGGCGCGGGGGCGGCGCGGGGCTCGGGCTCCCTGCCCCGCCGGCGCACCATGTGCAGCGGTGTCGGCTGCTTCTGGGCGCTGCTCTCCGCCGGTCTCCTGGCCGCCTGCGCCGCCGCCTTCCTCTCGCCGGCCTGGCTGCTGCCGCCCGGCCGCGCCGCCGCCGGTTTCGGTTTGCTCTGGCGCTGCTCCGGCCCCCCCCGCGGCTGCCACGGCTCCGCCGGTCCCGGCGGCTTCGGAGACATCCCCTCCGGTTCCTGGCAGGTGAGCGCCTCCCCGCCGCGGCACCCCCCACCGCCTCTCCCGGGTTGCCGGGTACCGCCTGGCAGCTCCCCGCATGCCGCCTGCCCTTCCCCCGGACTCCCCGGCATCTCCCGACACCTTCCCGACATCAGCCGTGTCTGCTTCTGCCTCTCCGGCATCCCTCATCACCTCCCCGGCATCCCCCCCTTGCCTGCTTTGGGCTCCCCAGGGTCACCCCATCATCTCCTGGCCTCCCCCCAGACCTGCTCCAGGCTCTCCAGTGCCTCCTGTCTTCACGCCAGCTTCCCTTGTCCTGTCTTCCAGACCTGCTCCAGCATCCCTATCCTGCCCAGATCATCCCAGGCATCCCCTGCATCCCCCATGCTGCCCTCGAGCATCCTCTGCATCTCCTCGTGCTCTCTCCAGCATCCCTTCCATCCTCTGCATCCCACCCGTCCTGCCTGAGCATCTCCTCAGCACCCCTTGGGTGTCCCGTGATCCCTGTGGGGTCCCGTCCCTCTTTGGGATGTTTGGCTGTTCTCGGGGGGCTGTGTGGAACCCCCGTGCCAGCGTGGGGGTGAGCGCAGCCCCAGCGCGGTGCGGTCCCGGCAGTGCGGCGGGGCTGACCCGGCTGATCCCCGGCCCTGCCCGGGCTGGGTGTGCGGGAGATGTTCCTGTGTCCCCAGCGGGGCGCTGCGCATCACTCTCGCCTGAGTTTGCTGTGCAGGAGGGAGCAGGGAGGCGGCTGAAACTGCTGCTCCTGAGACACGTGGATGCAGAAATCCAGCCTGGATCTGGGGGATCGTGGCTGTCCCCCTGCCCGGCCACCCGGGGTGATGCCCGGGGTGCCAGGTTTGGGAAGGAAGGAGGTCCAGACCCCCCCGCTCGCCCCATGGGGTTGCTGTGGTGTCCCGGGGTGACAAAGCCCGTCACGCTGGGTGTGTGCAGGGACCGCACAAAGCCCGGCCCCGCATCCCACCGCCCGCTTGGCCCTGTCCTTTCTCCCTGCTCTCCCTTCCTTCTTACCCCGTCATTCTGTGCGTGTAAATCCCTGTCTCTGCTGGGAGCACACGAGCTGGGACTCGCTCCGGGTCACGGCGTGGCGGGGTCCCCAAAGCCAAAGCCAAAGCTGCGCGGGCACAAAGGGCGGCTGCCACCGCTGGATGGCTCAGCTGCCATGTCCTCATCTCTCCCAGGACACCAGGTCTGCGTGGGATTGCTTCGATCCCATCACGGTCCTTCAAATTGGCATTAGAGACAAATATTGTGAATTGTAAAGAAAAGAACCAGCTGTATAAACTCCTAACTATTTATATAAAAAGGTGCAAAAATGCTCTTGTTTCCATGGGCTGGCCTTTGTTCAGATGTTTTTGCAAATGTGATGCAGATAAACACTTCCAAGTAATAACAAACTTTAAAGATAAGAACGAAGCTCAGCAGTGACTCATTTGAACAAGCTTCAGCCTCTGAAAACACTGAGACCCAGAATATAATGTAGCACGAAGTCTCTGAGTTCCTGAGCTTGTGCTGAGAGATGAATAATCACAACATTGAGGGGAATTTGCAGCACATTTTGGTGACATGTCCGTGTCACCTTTATTAATAGCACCCAAATAATTAATGAACAACAACCAGTGCAGACTCTTTCAGGGGAGAGTGCTCCCTTACCATCTTTCTGCCATGAGGAGGGGGAGAATACCTGTTGTGATGGTTATTTGATGGGCTGCAATGTAATAAAACAGTCCTGACAGCTTTGCCGAGGCAGGAGACAGCTTTGGCTTTCCTGCATGAGCAGCCTGCGAGCCCGCACGCCTCGGTGCTCAGCTCGGGGGAGCCGAGAACCCTGTCCATGACTTCAGGCAGATTTCTCTCCGTTTTGGAGAGATGGGGAAATCGTGGCTCTTTTTTTTTGCTTTCAGAGCCGTGACGTTTATTTCCAACCTTTCCAGCGATCTGATGGGCAGCTCTTAAATCTCTTTAAATGAAAGCCGAACGTGGACAGGAATCTGGGAGCTCCTGAGAAGAGCCTCCAGCGTTTGCTCAAGTGGAGTTCGCTGCAGGAGGGTGGGAGCTGGGGCTGCCGGGGGCAAAGGGGGCTAAAGATGCTGTGGGGCTCAGGAGCTCTTCTGGAGTGGAGCTGGTGGCACATCTGGGGATGCTGAGAGCACACCTGGGTGGGTGCTGAGCACAGCCGGGTGGGTGCTGAGCTCACCTGTGTGGGTGCTGAGCTTACCTGGGTGGGTGCTGAGCACACCCGGGTGGGTGCTGAGCTCACCTGGGTGGGTGCTGAGCTTACCTGGGTGGGTGCTGAGCACACCTGGGTGATGCTGAGCTTACCTGGGTGGGTGCTGAGCTCACCTGGGTGGGTGCTGAGCACACCCGGGTGGGTGCTGAGCTTACCTGGGGGGGTGCTGAGCACACCTGGGTGGGTGCTGAGCTTACCTGGGTGGGTGCTGAGCACACCCGGGTGGGTGCTAAGCTCACCTGGGTGGGTGCTGAGCACACCCGGGTGGATGCTGAGCTCACCTGGGTGGGTGCTGAGCACACCCGGGTGGGTGCCCACCCGCAGCCGGGATGCCCATCCCTGGGGAACATTGTTCTTTTTGTTTCCTGCTCCAATGTGCCGATTTGTGGAAGGGTGGGGGAGCATTCAGTCCTGCAAATGATAGTTAATGCCAGTTGTGTGTGCACTTGGGGGATTATGTTAATCGTGCTACAAATGATGCTTTGAATCATGTCTGGAGGTTAATTAACATGCCTTTCTTCTCTTAAGAGGGCCTTCATGTCTGCTTAGAGCTGCTGGCTTTTTTCTGCTTCCTTTCATAATTACTTTGCAGCTCTCTAAGATCATGGGTACCTTTAATTTAACCCTGTCAGTGCTGCTGGGGCTTTGCACGGAGCTCAGCATCATGATGATTATTTGATGGGGTGGAATATAATAAAAACACCCTGATGGCTGCAGATGTTGTGGACAGGCTGAGACCTTGCAGGAGCTGATGGAAACTGGAGAGGGCTTGGCTGGAGCCAGAGGAGAAAGGATGGTGATGCTGATATTGCTCAGGCAATTTGTGAAAGAGGCCCTTAGGATCTGTTGTGGGATGAGCTGGAGCTGTGAGGGCTGCAGAGGGGCATCCCAAGGCGTGCAGGTACCCTGGGGAGAGGGGATTGCCCTTGGGAGGCCAAATGGAAAAAACAGGTGAACTTTTGAGCTCTGAGTGGTTTCATTGCATCTCACAACTTTTCTTTTTTCCTGGTGCCAGATCACTGTGTACGTGCAAAATAGTGCTTCATCCTCAGCTAATTTATTTTCTCTTTCAGTGGGAGCATTTGGCTCATGGGTTCCTGTCTCAGTGCTGCACTTCGGAAGCACTGCTGCTACATTTCAGATTTCTATTTTTATTTTTCCAGATAGTCTCCAATTATTTTCAGGCTTTGCCAAGCATGTAATCTAAAATAACAAAGAAGCCGATCAGCCCATGATATTCAGGTTAAAGGCACATGGACCATTTGCCTATGGAGCCAGTGATGCCATGCTGGAGCAGAGCCCAAAATAACCTGCTCAGGACAGCGGGGAGGTTTTGCCCAACCCCAGCAGTTCCTTGAGTGGGTCTTTCCTGGGCCTTAAAGCAGAACTTGAAAAGATTCAGCAAAGCTTAGTGAAAATGTACAATAAACCTCCTTACCCGTTTATTAAATCTTCAGTGTTGGTTTGTCACTGCATCAGTTCAGCCCTGGGTCCCTGGTGTCATCTGGGGTTTGCCCTTTGGGGCCAGGTTTGCAGATCAGCAGCCCTGATCCCAGTGAAAAAGCACACGGGGTCCTCATGCAGATGGGAAGAAATCTGTCACTCTGTGGAAAATCTGCCACTCCTCTTCCAGCACAGGCTCTGGAATTAGGGAGAGAAGCAGTGTGACCCAAACAGGGACTCGTGTGTGTGCTGGCAGAGTCTGCTCTGCCTCCAGAGTCGTGTATCAAGCCAGCACATTAACTTGGGATTATCAGGAAATCAACTTTTAGCTCCTCATCCTAAGAACTTCCCAAGAGACCAGCCTCTGTCTGCCAGTCCATTTGATTTTTAATTGCACTTACACAACCTTGGCGAGAGTTGTAAGCACTAAACGTAAGGAATTCTTGACATCACCACCTTCATGCACATTACCCCAGAGCAGATTTATCTGCTTTCATCAGCACACAGACTTTTCTGACCTACATTAACAGGACTGAAAATACCTGGTGTTGGGGAAACCTGTAATTGCTGGGCTGTGGCCCCACATTTCAGCGCCCAAGTCCCAAACCAGCCTGCTCTCAGCTAAGCCGGGCTGAAAGGGGAGCTGGGGCAGGACCAGCTTAAGGGTGGGCCGTGGGAGGTCAAGTTGATTAAAAATGCAGCCAGGCTGCTCTCAGGATTAGTTCTGCCCCTGCTCAGAGGGAGAGGGAAGCTGCTTTGCTTGAACAAAGAGGTGGTGTCAGCCCCGGGGCCAGGGGGCTCAGCTGAGCTGTGGCCACTGCTGACAGTGATGGGTGGGTCACACGGGTCACAGTGGGACATTCTCTGCATCCTCCTGGGGCTGCTGCAGACCCGGTGGGACATTCTCTGCATCCTCCTGGGCTGCAGAGCCAGTGGGACATTCTCTGCATCCTCCTGGGGTTGCAGAGCCAGTGGGACATTCTCTGCATCCTCCTGGGGCTGCTGCAGACACACTGGGACATTCTCTGCATCCTCCTGGGGCTGCAGAGCCGCTCTGGCTCTGTCCGGGGTGCTGCTCTGGAAAAGGCCGATGGGTGAGCGGTGTGACCGCGGGGCACTCACCGGCCTCGGCTGCCAGTGCCAGCAAAGGCTTATCCCAGGGAAGGACAATGACAAAGTGAGCGGAGGAAGGCCCGATCGGCTACCCAGCACACTGCACTGCTTGCTGCCTAATTAAAATTTCATTAAGTTGGTTCGAATCCCTTGATGGAGGTCACAGGCACACCATTGATGTGCTAATGTCTTACTTTTCCCCTTTTTTTCTGTCTTTCACTACTATCCATCATCCTCTTAGATAAAGCAGTGCCATTAGGAACTGCTTTCCAGCATCCCCAGATGCAATGGCAGCGAAAGAGAGACAGCCATAATTCATCAGACATATTATCTGTCCCTTATTTTCTCTCTAATTAAAAAAATGCCTCCCCCACGCAACATGAATCAGTTTGGGCATTAACTCTTGTAGTGTTCTGTTGAATATGCTGGTGAGCTGGGAATTGGAAAAGTTGCCTGGAAGGCCAGGACTGGCTGAGCTTTGTTTTAGTGGAGCTGCTGCTGAATTTAGTGCAAAATTAGTGAATTTAGTGCTGAATTAATGCAAAAGCAGCTATTTCTGGGCTGGGGAGAGACAACCCCTGTGCATGTTGTGCTGTGGGCAGGTCCCCATCCACCAAATCCTGCAGCTGAAGGGGAAGAAATGAGGGCTGGACCCTACTTTGCATCCCTGTGGCTCGGCCAAAACATCCCAGCTCAGGGGTTGGGACATCAGCCACGTCCCTGGTGGCATCACCCCTGGGCTCTGTGCTGCTGCCCGCTTTGGGACCGGGTGACAGCGGCACTCCCAGCGGCCCTGGGCACGGATGGCATTTGCTGCCAGCTCAAACAGGCAGGAGAAAGCGCTCAGATGGCGCCCAAAGGAAGGGAATTACCGGGGAGGAGAAGCCGAGGATGTGTGGGATCCTCCTCCTGGCCGTCGCTTTGATGCCGCCCAGATGGCGAATGTTTGTTTCTGTGCCTGTGGGGGAAATACGAGAGAGCTGTGAGGCTCCACCCGCCCACCGCGGCCCGCAGCGACTCCCAGGTGGGGATCCCTGCTTTTCCCGGATCCCAGATTTTCCCTGGATCCCAGCTTTTCCCGGATCCCAGCTTTTCCCAAGATCCACTGGCCTCCGGGTGCTGCCAACATTCCTGCAAATCTCAAAGCTCAGCTCCCCACTCAGCACCTCCATCCTGATTTGGTTTTTTAACAAGGTTCAAATCTCGGTATCCATTTGGTTTTTACCTCTGCAGGTGCAGCACTACTCAGTTGAACCCCAAAACATATTCCCATAAGGAATATTTGATCACACAGAGCTCTGATAGGAAAGGGTTGCATTTAAAAATGAAAATGGTTGGATTAATTTTGCCACCTCTTCTCTTAGTTGACTTTACAGGTTTTCTCCAGCTGATTTGGGGTTTCTTAGATATTTTCTCCCAACAGATACCCCCAAAAAGCCAGATATACTGTGACCCTCACTTCCTTTTTCTCACTGAGCCTGTGACTTTATTTCCCAGTTATTTAGGGCATTTCTTTTCTGCCCCCATTTCCAAAGATGCTGAAGCATCTGAGCAGTGCTGGAACACCCCAGCAGTCTGTAACCTGGCCCTCAGCCTGCTGCTCTGGGTACCACAGGCCCCATCCAGGATGGCAGCTGTTGGTGGATGGTCAAGTGCCAATTAATAAATTGCATTATTAAACTAATGTGCATCATGACCCAGTTCACAGTGATGGCAGGAGCTTTGCCAGGTTGGTTTATCTCTGCTGAACCAAACACTAGGTAGTGTTTCTCAGCCCTAAAAACTCTCCTGGAGAGTTTATTTTTCCTTCACCCTTCCTGCTTTAATGCTGGCTTTCAAATATGAGTTAACTTTTAAAAAGTTTTCATTAGGGATATTAAGGAATTCTTCCCAGGACAGCCATTATGTGACATTTTAATTTTGATTTTTCTGGTGCATGAAACAATATCCTCAGCAGATTTATTGCTAAGTGAATGGCCCAGCCATGGCATGTGTCAGACCTGTAAAACACCAAAAAACAGGCAGGGGATTGTTGTTAATCAGAATTTATTACGCTACATAAAGGCATATTTACAGTCCCACCAGGGGACAATTAATTTGTTTGGGGATAAACAATTAATCTCCCTGGGAGTGGGAGCAGAAAATCTGACATGGTTTTATGTCTTTTCCCAGCGTGGCAGAGGCAGGATTGCTCACAGCCTCCCTGGGGGCACCTCCCTGGCACTGCCAGGGGTCAGCAGTGCCCAGGGCTGGGCAGCTCTGCTCCTCCCTGGCAGGGTTTGCACTGGGAGCTGTGCTCTTTACTGGGATAAATGGGGTTTTTTCCTGCTCTTCCCTGGCAGGGTTTGCACTGGGAGCTGTGCTCTTTACTGGGATAAATGGGGGTTTTTCCTGCTCCTCCCTGGCAGGGTTTGCACTGGGAGCTGTGCTCTTTACTGGGATAAATGGGGTTTTTTCCTGCTCTTCCCTGGCAGGGTTTGCACTGGGAGCTGTGCTCTTTACTGGGATAAATGGGTTTTTTCCTGCCCTGCCTGAGCAGGGCTCTCACAGGCTGCCTCCTGCCTCCCTGCTGTTCCTCCCCACCCTGTCTGTTTTTGGGTTTCAGCCCTTGCATCTGTTTCCTGCATCCTCTCCTTTCTGCTCAAGATGCAACAGGCACAAGCAGGGAGGAGAGAGGGAGGTCCTGCACAGTGGGAAGGAGAGAATTGCAGCTGCTATTCTTTGCTACCTTTGCTCCATGGACTTCTTCAAACTTAAACCTTATCATTTCTCTTTGAAAGCAGCTTTTTGATCTTTGCAGGAGCAAATCCAGTACATGGCAGGAGCACAAATTCCCAGCTGAGGCCATGGGAAGGTTATGACAAAAGCAAAATTTCTGTTTTCCAAGAGCACATGCAGTGTTTTGGCAGGTAATGTCAGCACACAGCCAGCAGAATGTGGGAGCCAGGCAAAGAGCAGTGCTGTGTCCTTTTCTATTGTCACCTACTTTTGGGGCAGCTCTGCCCCTGCTACTCCTTCTGCCCCCAGGAGCTGCCTGGCAGCTGTTCAGTGGCTCAGCATTCCTGGCCCACATGGCAGAACCCAAACCTCACCATTTCCTTCCCCTATTGCCACATGAATCTTCTCCCATTTATTCACAACGAGACCTTTGTTCCCTTTGCCACAGCCTGGCTGGATTTGGTGGGGTTTTGGCCACCCCTGTGCACATCAGGATGCTGCCAGCCCTGAGACCCCTCAGTCTTGTTGCCAGACCCTGCTGGCACCTCCCAAACCAGACCAGCCAGTTTAACTCACCTGCACCCAGCTTGTTTGTGCCTTTTTCCTGCCACTTTGTCCTGAAAAAGACCTTCACACTTCTCCACAGGGATTAACAGTCTGAGCAGCTCATCAGTTGTTTCCAGCAGGAACTGTGAGTTTTTAGGGGATTTGAGCCATCACAATTAAGGAGAACCTAGATCATTAAAAATAATATGCTTCACACAAGAGAGGAACCAGCCTGCTTCACAAGACCCCTTTCTGCTGAAAAATTCATTGCTCTAAATAATTAATGGTCCTTGCAAAGGAGGATGGTTTTGCTGGGCGGAAGGTGGAATACAGACGCCAGGCAGAGTAATCCTTTTTTTTGTTATGAATCCAGATTTCCTGGCCATGCTGCTGCCCTGGGAGCAGTGGGGGAGCAGGACTGTGGCTGCTTTCCCCATGGGGCCCCAGGCTGGGAGAATGTCTGTGCAATGGGGTCATCCCATCCCATCCCATCCCATCCCATCCCATCCCATCCCATCCCATCCCATCCCATCCCATCCCATCCCATCCCAGCACTTGTCTGTCCAGGTCTCAGAGCCTTGGAAGGCTCTGGGGAGGAGCAGATTTCCCTGCTGGAGCAGCCTCTGCATTTCCCTGGGTAGTTTTTGCACTGCTGTTCCTTTTGCTTTGCATGTCAGGAATTCATTTGTTGCTGGGACAGCATTTGCATTGCTCAGTGCATAAATAGACTATAAATAAGATGCTGATTTCTAATCACTGCACAGCCCCGGGAGAAGCACTCACTCCAGGGTGTCAGGTGGTGCCTGGCCTGTCCCTCTCCAGCACCAGTGTGTCCCTTCTTGGAGCAGTGGCAGCTGCTGGGACACAGCTGGCAGTGCCAGTGTCACCCAGCACCAGCCAGTCCAGCTGCTGAACCCCAGCTCAGCAGTCAGGAAGAGAGGAGGACGCAGGGCAGTGCCAGACCCGTGGGACAGCACCACTGATGGGAGGGGGATTTTAGTTGCTGGGACCCCCCATGGGCATCCCCGGGTAAATCAAATTCCTCTTCCCCTGCTCAGCCTGCCTGTGGTTCCTGCAGAATAAATTATCTGTAGCAGATTGTTTGTGATCTCTTTGGGAAGGGGAAGGAAATGGAAAGCTGTACTGGGGTTGTTTCTGTAATAACCATGGCTGCACAAAAGCTCAGGTAGAGGGGGAAGATAAAAAAGGCAAACTGTGCACTGCTGACCATAATGTCTCTCCAGGACAAGAGGGCTGGACAAGGCTGGGAGTGGGACCTGACCTCCTCAGAGCAGCTCCCACACAGGTTATAAAAACAAGGCTTTTCAGGGAGATGGGAGTGAGACCTGCCTTGGAGCTGTGCTGCTCCAGGGAGCTGAGGAGGGTGTCACTGCAGGGTGACTCACCAGAGCCAGCAGCATTCCCTGGAATGTGCTGGGAATGACAGGAGTTGACGTGGCTGCGCAGAGCTGGGCCCGAGGTGTCCTCACGCTGTTTGAGAGCTGTCACCAGCTGGGTGCTGGAGGAGGAAGGTCCCCTCTCTGCCCCTAGCCATGCCCCTGGCTGGGCTGGCAGTGTCCCTGCTGGAACAGGCCACCCTGCTGCCACTGCCATCCGCTGTCACCTGCAATGAGGACAGAAACAGCAGCAGTCAGTGACTGAACACCTGTGCCCAAGGGCGAGCTGTGTTGCCATGAATTAATGCTTTTCCCCGTTTTTAGGATACAGGGGTGGGAGCAGCCTGCTGTCAGCAGAGCTGCAGTGAGAGCAGCAGTGGGATCCCCAAAATGCCTGCTCATTGCCAGGCCTGCTGGGGCAGTGCTGCCCCGGGATCCATCTCAGTGCTCAGCACTGACACATCACACACATCCAATGGCACTGGTCTCAGGACGTGGCCCTTCATGCAGTCATGCACTTGCAATTGTCACTGCAGCCCCAGTGCCAGTGACCCCTGGAGCAGGGCATGGCTGAGCCTGGGGCTCAGGACTGAGCCGTGAATTGAAGCAACAAAAGGTGGAAGGGAAAAGGTGGGAGAACCGCCCATGACAGGGTTCCACTCCCCACTTCCAGAGGGGGATTTCTGGGGGGCGTGGTGGTGGGGTGACCTCTCTGACAGCCCCCTGTGTCCTTCCAGACGAGCGCTGTGCTGTGTGCGGGCGGCTGTGCCCTGCTGGCCCTCAGCTCCCTGCTGGCCATCGTCGCTGTCGTGCTGCCCGGCGGAGCCTGCGAGCGCCGAGTCTGCACCCTGGCTGGCTACATGCAGACAGCAGCAGGCAAGTGCTGGCTTTGCTCTTTGGGGGGAAAGATGGGGTGTCCTGCATGGCATCTTGGAGCTCAGCAGCATGAGGAGCTTGCAAACCCTAACCAAGGGTGGGAGAAATGCTCTTTCAGGGCTCTTCAGTTTAGTGATTGCTTCCTGCATTCAGCACAAAACTATTGGACATCACCTCCAACCACATGTGGGTCTGTGGCAGAGCCTGGGCTGCAGGTCCCCCTCACTGCCCCCAGCTCAGGATGTTGTGTAGGACAGGAGGCTGTGGTGAGTGGTGAGACAGCCCTTCTGCTGGCAGGGTGCTGCTGCACCTTCTGGGGTCCAGCAGATGCTCCCTGTGACGTGTCCAGTTCCATCTTTGTTGTTAAGCCTCTGGAGGGATTTCCCTCCCTGGGCTTTACACCTGCCAGGGCTGCCCAAACTGTCCCGTATCTCCCCAGGTGATGCTGCATCCACTTAAAATTCCTTTGCAATTGCCTTTGCTTCTGCCTCGGGGGAGTGCAGAGGGAGAGGGCAGGAAGCTGGGGAGGGACAAACCCCACTGGAGACTTGTCACCCCTGCAGGGAGCCACATCCCCGAGGGTTGGACCGAACCTCCCAGCTGGACAAGAGCCATGACAGGAGATTAATGCCCCTCCGTGTCTGTGCCTGAGAATAAACTCCTTTGCTTGGAGAAATTCTCAGGGCCAGCCAGGCTTTGTTCTCTGCCTGGAGCATTCAAGCTGCTTTGGGGGGAAATCCTGTTACACGCTCTCCTCTGCAGGGCTCATCCCATGGGATCCCATCTGGGACAGATGGAGCAGGACGGATTCCAGCCATGGCTGCTCCAGCTCAGCTGTGGGGCTGCTTGTGCTGTCCCCTTGTCCCAGGCTGGAGATTCCCATCTCTGCTGGGTCCCCTGGTGTGGGACAGAGGCTGGAGGAGCCCCATGGCAGATCTCAGCCCCAGGGATGAGTCCCTGGCAGATCTCCCCTACAGGGGATAATTGGGGTGAAAAAGGGGAACCCCACATTACCTTTGCCTGGGGGGTGGCACATCCCTGCTGCGTCTGGAGCAGATACAAAGCGAAGGATTAGGAAGAGTCCCTGGAAAGGAAACTGACTGTGGCAGATAAATACAAATGAGGAGCTGCCAGGAGTTCTGGTAATATTGAACAGGCTGTAAATAAACTGTAGGCTCTAAGCGTTATTGACAAATGAAAATTTACTGGGGACGTTTGAGCAAGCTAATGGGTTGCTTTAAACCCTGGCATTGCCTGCTAAGCATTTTGTCTTGTGCTTTTTAATTTTGTGCACTGTGGATTAATTCCCATTCAGAGCCAGGCAGCCCTGAGTCAACAGAATTAAATGGTTTAATGTATTTGGATTCAGAAATGCTGCCCCTCCATAATTTCTCTCCTTGTTGCCCCCTCCCTCCCTAGGAGGAAGCTTTTCAATAGGAATCAGCTTCAGTGAGGTGACAGGGAGAGAAACTCCTCCCCAAAAATCCCATTATCTCAGAGAAAAACAGGGATTTTAGGATAGATGAAATTACAGGGGAGGGAAGGAAAGCAGAGCAAGCAGGGAGGTTTGGTAGAGGAGCTTTCTGATGGGGGGTGGGGGGCAGCTCTGCCAGAGGGACCCCTTGAGATGCTGGCAGAGCAGTGGGGGTTTGTTTCTCCCAAATCCCAGATTTCCCAAAGTCACTTTTCCTCTGTCTGATCAGATATTTTCCCACTGATATCCAAATTTTGTTCTCCTTTTCCCATTTCACAAAGCCAACTTGAGGTATTCTTTTAGAGCACCAAAGGTATGAGTAAATCAGCTTAATTCTATTAAACATTAATCAGGAATCCAATGTCCTGATAAAGAGCCAGGAGGATGAAACACGCCAGAAGTGCAGGAGCAGAGGTACCAGCAGAGCCAGAATCAGCCCCCACAGGCTCTGCACTGTCTCACAAGGATGCCCTGAGCTGCACTCAATAAATCCAGGTGCAGAGGCCAAGGATTGATCCCTGAACCAAACAGGAACCAATCCTGAGGACAGCCCCACAGCAAGGCTCAAGCTACAGTTTTAACATTTTCCTGCTGTTTATTTGGAGAGCCAAGTTGTGCCTTCTGCAGCCCCAGAAGAAAGGAAGATAAAAACCTCAGGCAGACAGAGCAGAGCTCTAATTGCAGATGCAGACAGGCCACCAGGGTTCAGAGCTGGGCTAATTGCCACCACACTCTGAAAACACGAGTCCTGATGCCTGGCATCCATTCCTTAGGAAAAAAGCCCAACATATCCACACAAAAGACAACAGGGTGATCCCTAATGAAAGAGTTAATGAGCAACAGGGAGAGGAGGAAGGAGAAAGGAACATTTGCTCAGCTCTCACACCCTACAAAGAAAAAGCTGCCTCTGAGAGATTAGAGATGGGGCTCACTCCCTGTTCATGGTGTCAGCTCACTAAAATGAAATTTCTGGGGGATCCTTCCTCCCAAACCTGCATGGCAGCACCTCCCAAGAGGCTGAGGTACCTAAGCTGGCCCATTTATGTGTGGGGTGGTCCAATCCTCAGCTGCAGCCCATTGCTGTTGCTGGAGAGGGGTCCTGGGGCTGACCCCAGGGACAGGGAGGACAAATGGGGGCACAGCTGAAACCCTGCCAGTTGTCCTTCAGCAAAAGCCTCTTTGCTGGGGTTTTAAAAACAGGAGGTAATCCCAGGGAGAAATGTCTCTGAATGTTCTCCAGGGCAGATTGTGCCTGTACAGCCTCCCTGGGGGCTGCCAGGTGCTGTCAGGGGTCCTGGTTTGCAGCTGGACATTGCAGTTCATCCCTGCAAGGCTCTCAGAGCAGTTTTTCAGTGAGTGGCAGTGGGAAGCTGCTGGAAGGAGCACGGGGCCATCACAGTGTGCCAGGCACTGCCTTCACCATGGGAGCTGTGGGTGATGCCCCGGGGAGCCCCAGGGCTCTGCTCTGAGCTGTCACAGCCCACACAGCCCCAGCAGTGGCACTGCCTTACAGGAGTGCCCTGAGCCTGCAGCCTCTGCCAGGTTTCCAGCAGGGACTGTGCTCCACAGCCCAGAGCATCCTCACCCCCCTGGGAATGGCCTTCCCAGGGCAGTGAGGCTGATGAAAACAGATTGCAACTCAGTGAACCCCATCAAACAGAAAATCTGGGCAGATTTCTGCTTTGGGGGCTAGTGGTACTAAGGGAAGGATTATGGGTGACCACGCTCCAGCACTGGTGCTGCTTAGGAACGAGTCTTCACAGGCAGGATGAGCATCCTCCCTCATCCCTAAAAGCCTCAATAAAGCCAGGATTATGTTGTTGCTTTTAGGAAGCTTTTCTCTGTGTGCTCTTCAGGCAAAGGGCACTTGCTTTGCTGGCAAGGGGTGGCTGATCCAACCTGCCAGTGGCCCCAGGGCTGCAGGTCCTTTCCCTGCTCTCTGGTGCCTGGCAGGAGGAGGCCGCAGAGTTTGGAACCTCGCTGAGGGCACAGAGCACAAGGAGCCTTCAGGAAGAGTTTTGCTTTCACCCCACACTGCTCTTTGTCCGGTCTTACCACCATCAACTCACTGCTCAAGACACGCCCAGTGCTGAGGGAAATGATCCTGACCTGCCTGTGCCTTTCTAAAGTTCTTCTGGTTTTAAAGAGCAATTTCCCAGCAGTGCCACGACAGAATCAGAACAGTCACAAGGCTCCAGCAAGACAGGCAGAAACCCTCAGTTATGTAATTTAGCCACACTGTAATCCCAGGTTTCATGGCAGTCCCAAGAGCTTCTTCCTGGAAAATTTGATTGCATTCTGCAGCCAAGATGCCTCTTACTGGCAGCAGCATGGTGGCATTACAGAGATGGCCTCAGCTTTAGGTCAGTTAAGCAGCAGAGCAAAATACAGGAGACTTTGTGATTTTTGTCTGTTCTTTAGACACTGATCATCCAGTGAGGACACAGAAGGAGGGAGAATGGTTCATTTTCAGATCAGTGGGAACCTTCTAAATGTATCAATTCCCAAGGACTGAAAATCAACCTAGATTAAAACTGTTTGTGCCATTCCCAAGGAGAGCAGCAAGGATGGGTGGGAGGTTTGGGGCAGGCTGGGGGCAGCAGTCCCTGGCCAGGATGCTGTCACAATGTTATTTAGGAAGGCAGCACATGATCCTTCCCCCTCATTGCACCTCCCATCCCTCCCTGCATCCCAGCCCACCTCTGGGATCGATGGTGCCCTGTTTGTCCCAGCTTGTGCAGGCTCTGCATGGCAAACAGCACCATCATCTGCATCAGTATTGATCCCTCAGGCTCCCATCGATCAGCCTGGTGACACATAGGTAATGTGTAATTAGTAACTTAGATAAAAACAGCA